CCGGGAGGAGGGGGGCGGGGGGGGCTCCACCACGCCCCGGGGGGACAGCGGCGGGGCTGGCGATGGGGGCGGCGGCGGCGGCGGGAGTTCAAGCGCCAACAGCCCCCTCGGCGGAGGCGTGTCTGCGACGCTGGGGGCGGGGACCCCCGGGATGACCACCAACGACGCGCTGCTTTTCCACGAGAAGTGCGGCACGCTCATCAAGCTGAGCAACAACAACAAGACGGCCGAGCGGCGCCGCCCCCTGGACGAGTTCAACAACGGCGTGGTGATGACCAACCGGCCCCTGCGGCACAACGAGATGTTTGAGGTGCCCGTCCTTGGGCTTTGCCCGTCCTCTCTCTGGGAATCTGTCGGTCAGTCGTTCTCTCTCTCAACTCTCTCTTTCCGTGTCCCAGATTCGGATCGACAAGCTAGTGGACAAGTGGTCCGGGTCGATTGAGATCGGGGTGACAACCCACAACCCAAACAACCTGGACTATCCGGCCACCATGACCAATCTACGCTCAGGTGTGGTACACTAGCCTGGTGCCCCATTCCAGCTCTGAAACAGACTGTTAGAGTCATTGAAAGAGTGAGAGGTTCTGGGAGACATGAAAAGCCAGGAGACCCAGGTGATCAGACCCTCATGATCCCCATGATCCAGGAGTTTATTGATTCTCGGCAAATCAGCTTAAATCCCATGGTTTGCCAGTTTCTGTTCTCAGTGCTAAAGGCAAACCCTCTTCGTTTCTGTGTTTCGTAGTTAACCACTGTTGTAGCAACAGTTAACGGTAACATTTCAAGATTTGGGACCCTTCTGCTGTGCTAGAGACAGAAGATATTCCTTTGGCCTTGACTTGTGGTGTGTCCTTGCTCTGCTCCAGGCACCATCATGATGAGCGGCTGTGGAATCCTCACTAATGGAAAAGGGACCCGCAGGGAGTACTGCGAGTTCAGCCTGGATGAGCTCCAGGTGAGGCTGTCGCTCACCCCCTCCAGTGTCGCCCCGCTCCTGCTTTACTGCAGCAAGCGCCCTTGTTAATTAGCACTCCATCCCGTTCATTGACAGCTACACTGCAGAGATGTTTTCTAGGGCCGCGCTCAGCACCTTGTTCAAGTCTCTGTAAATCATCGTTTGCCTACACCTAGTAAGTGAGTTTAATTGGCTCGCTTGTTAATAATCTCTTCAGTTCATTAATGAAGAGTGCGTTTGGAATGAAGAATACATGCAGGACACGTCTGTGAAGCACTGAAGCTGTTCATGAGTTATATGTCCTTTAGTACTAACGCTGCACCAAGTTAAATACGTTATTGATGTTGGCCTCCTCCTGGCAGTCGTGAAAGTTTCGGGGATGCGAGTCGGATCTGTCTGACCAGGCACTAGACCTTCTGGAGAAGCAGGGAGGCTTTGCCTTCCTCACCTTACTCTCTCCTTTTGTTTCTGCCCTCCTTATATCCCTGGCTTCCTCCTCCTCCTCTCCTGTTGTCCATGTTCTCCTCATTGCGTTCCCGTCACATCCCTTTCTCCTCCCCACTCTTTTATCTGTCTCTTTCTCCAGGAGGGAGATCACATTGGCCTGATGAGGAAAACCAGTGGTGCCCTTCACTTCTACATCAATGGCATTGATCAAGGTATGGTCTGCCTGTTTTTTAGAAATCTTTGTGATTGTGTTGATGAATGTTCCAGGTGGGATCTCCCCAGCCTTTTACACACCTGTGCGATGATGTTGATCATTGACCAACTTTGGATCTCCCATGACACTTCAGGCCGTTGTGTGACTGTGTTTCTTAACATTTTCTTAAGTGGGTGTCTTACAATGTTCAGCTTTTGATTTGAGCAGGTGTCTCGTATTGCATTGTTAGCAGGGAAATGGAGACGGCCGCCATGTTGTTTTGCAGCTGGTTTCTTTCTGGAGTCTTAATGACTTGCATGCCCCGTGGTTGGCTCCTGTTCTCAGGCGTGGCAGCCACACAGACCCCGGGTACGGTGTACGGTGTGGTGGACCTCTACGGCATGGCAGTGAAAGTCACCATCGTCCACAACCACAACCACAGCGACCGGCTGCGGCGCAACAACGCCATCATGAGGGCGCTGTCCCCAGATGTGGGGCGCCCTCGGCCCCCGATGCATCTGGGGTCCGACCCTGAGGCCCTAGACCGTCTCCTCTTCCACCCCAACTGTGGACAGAAGGCCGCCATCATCAATGATGGCCGCACGGCGCTTCGCCCTCAGTGAGTGTCCCCACCCATCTCCCTGCCAGTCCACCTCATCCCTTTCAGGCTCGTGGGATACTGCACACTATGCTGTAAATACTCGCACTGAGCACTCCTCTCACTTTTATACAACAAGAAAGAAAAGAGTTGTTTTTTCTTGGGTGTGGGTTGGAATGCTCTAAATTGAGATAGTGACATTTTTATGAAGGTCACGGACCTCGATATACGTAATTCAAATGGGATCGGTCCAGGATCCGAAAGTCCCCATTTCTTAGTTGTTAAGATATTTGCTCCAGGACATGGCGATCTGAACGGAGCGGATGTTAGTCATTTCTGGTGTTAACGTGCATCCTCTAGATAAGGTGCCTTTCCCAGTTGGCAGTCAGTGCTAACTCTCTAGCTGAGAAGCTGTGTAAGACTGTGGAGCTCACCGACTGTATTAAAAGGTGACTGGCTTTGATAGCACAGAGGAGCATGTCTTCACGTCCTTATTTTTTCCAGGAGTGGTGATCACAAAACAAGTCTTAAATGATTGATGATCCCATGCTTGGTTGGTTCGTAATAAATTGGCCATTCCATTTGTTGTTGCTAAAAAACTTATTTCCAGTTCCATAGTTCTAGCATTAACAGTGTCTGATCTTCACAGCTGAGCCTTATTCATGAGCTGTCTTGGAAATAGTTTTTAAAATTTATAGTTTGGGCACTTGTAGCTACCGTTTGGCCTTGTTGTGGTCGAGATGTTTTCAGTGCAGAAATGGTTGGCGTTTCGGAGAGCCACTTTTGCAAATATGAAAGCATCTTTCCTTTCGGGCAGTGCGACAGACGACTTCAACCATGGTGTGGTCCTGAGCAGCCGGCCCTTGCGCTCCAATGAGGTCTTCCAGGTGCGCATCGACAAGATGGTGGACAAGTGGGCAGGCTCCATCGAGATCGGTGTCACCACCCACAACCCTGCCTACCTGCAGCTCCCGTCCACCATGACCAACCTGCGCTCAGGTAAACTGGACGCCCCCCACCTCTGGCCCGTGGTCTGAGCTCTCTCCCTTTCGTGAGTCCAACTGGCCAATCAGCAGTGTGCTTGCTTGCACCATGTCTGATGAGCCTGTTGAAGATGGTTGTCTTATTTTAAGGAGTAGCTGTCTTCCCCTTTTTAGTTCCTACTTGCTTGCCATTGTTTGCCTGAGTCATGTGACATTTCTTTCTCCGACTCTCCTCGTCTTTCCCAGGTACGTGGATGATGACTGGGAATGGGGTGATGCACAACGGCACCACGATCCTGGATGAGTATGGACACAACCTGGACAGGCTGAAGGTGAGCTCTGTCCCTGTGGCCTGTGTGCTTCCGGTTGACTGTCACTCTCTCTCTCACGCCCCGCGTGCTGTGACTGCGTCACTCTCTCTCTCCACAGGCGGGAGACACTGTAGGGGTGGTACGGAAGGATGACGGCAGTCTGCACTTCTTTGTGAACGGGGTGGCACAGGGCCCTGCTGCCTGGAATGTGCCGGCCAGCGTGTATGCTGTGGTGGATCTTTACGGTCAGGCGGCTCAAGCTACAATCATGGACGATATGGGTAAGAACGGGACGCTGGGTCTCTGCCCCTGTGCTGTCCAGCTCACACCACATCCAGTGCTCCACTGGTGCTCCTACTGTCGGTATCGGTGCCGCACGCTTGACCCTGAGGTCCCACTGGTCAGATGAGACTGAACCTAAACTCCGATCTAGGCTCAGGCACTGAGCTTTGGTTGAGGTACAGAAGTTGAGCCTGATTGATCATCTAAACTTGACTCTGGTCTCTGATTGGTCAGTGGAGATTGTGCCTGGTCTGAAACTGTTCACTATAGATTGACACTGCGCACTGATTGGTCAACTAAACCTGTCCTTGCACTCTGATTGGTCAGTCATTTTGCTGATTGGCTCCTTGTTTCCAAGCCTCCAAATTCAAAGTCTGATTTATATAACTAAGTAAGGTAGGGAGATGTTACGTTAATTAGAGAGTATGAACGGTATTTTTGTTGAAAATCCGTGGCTCTCTCTTTCAGCCGACCTCCCGCCCCTGCCGGATGACTCCTCGGAGGGCAACAACCAGCTGTCTCCCAGCAGCCCCTGCTCTGTGGTGTCGGCCAATGACCTGCGCTTCCACCACCTGCACGGCAGCAACGCTGTCATCACCAATGGGGGGCGTACTGCGCTGCGCCAGAACTGCCGCAGCGAATTCAACGATGCCATCGTCATCTCCAATAGGTAGGGTTGCCCAGAAAAAATGGGGACTCAGGCCTGTGAAAAGTAAGAGAAATAGGGAATGCAGATCCTTCAAATCCTTTCCCTCCTATTTGCCGCTTACAATAATAATTCCTTACACTTATATAGCACTTCTCTGGACACTCCACACAAAATGCTATATGGGTAATGGGAAATCCCACGATCACCACCAATGTGCAGCACCAACTGGATGATGTAACAGCAGCCAAAATGCACCAGTACGCTCACCACACACCAGCTATCAGCTGGGGAGGAGAACAGAGTGATGAAGCCCTTTCAGAAGTGGAGATTATTAGGAGGCCATGACTGGTAAAGCCCAGGGAGAAATCTGGCCATGACAGGTTAACATCCCCTACTCTTTCAGAGAAATGCCTTGAAATTTTTTATGACCACGGAGAGTCAGGACCTTGGTTTTCCATCTCTTCCGAAGGACGGCGCCTTTTTCTTACAGTATAGTGTCCCCATCACCATTCTGGGACATTAGCGCCCCATACTGGTCCCACTAACACATCTTCCAGCATCAACCTTAGCTTTCCCAGGAAGTCTCTGTGCTAGGAACATAGAGAGGGTCTCTGGTTCAATACATATCTCCTATCCAGGTACTGGCGAGGCTCACACCTGCTGAGCTCCAGTCGGTTGCCAGTTCTGAGCTGCAAGGTGATACAGCTGCTGGCATTAGGCACGGTGGACTAGCTGTTAATTGCTTTACTCCGGTTGCTCCCTGCAAGTGTGTGTGCATGACGGCACGCTCACGTGTTCCCGACAGGTGTTTGCGAGCTGGAGAGCTGTTCGAAATCGTCATTCAGAAGATGGTAGACCGCTGGTCTGGATCGATAGAGGCCGGTGAGTCAGGGAGGAGACCAGTCCAGACAGGGAACTGGGGAAGGCTGGGGGGGGCGGGGGAGAAGGGGCTTGGTTGAGCGTTTCTCAAACAAATGAAACCAGAAGAGGAAACAAGTTGGTTTCCCTGTATGTCAATGTGAGCAAGGCCAGTAAGTGCAGCGAGTTAAACATGCGTAGAGGGTGTCTCATTGCGGCCATTAAACTCTTGGGGAGACAGTACCTCTACAGTAGCTCTCCATGCAAATCACAGTGAACTTGGTTTGGCCAGTTTTTGATGTGTGCGCAGAAGGATAGGTCATGTAGTCAAAAATAGATATATACACATTTTGCACTGCATGGCTTCCAATCTGATACAGGCGTGTGATGGGACAGGGCTGAGCTATGTCGTGTCTGTGTGTCCAAATCATGCAGGGGTGACCGCAATCCGGCCCGAGGATTTGGAGTTTCCCAACACAATGACTGACATTGACTATGACACTTGGATGCTGAGGTAGGGCCTCAAGATACATGTAAAAGTGGGGGAGGGGGGTGGGGGAGTCTCTGCTTTTTTAGTGAAGAGAGTCTTTGCTCTCTTGCACAATCCAGAGTTCTGGTTGACATAGAGGTGGAGCCTGATTGGTCATTTTAACTTGACTCTGGTCTCTGATTGGTCAAGTGGAGATTGTGCCTGATCTGAAACTGTTCACTGTGCGCTGATAAGTCAACCCAACCTGTCCTTGCACACTGATTGGTCAGTCATTTGGCTGACTGGCTCCTTGTTTCCAAGCCTCCAGATTCAAAGTCTGATTTATATAACTGAGTAGGGTAGCGAGTCATGCTCTCTTTCTCTTTAATTCTGACAGCTTCTTCACTGCCTCTGTGCAGGCTTGTTTGATAACATCTTCTCAGTGCCCCCCAGATTTATTCATGCCCCCCAATGAAATAGGAAAAACGCATCAGACCACAGAAGGAATTTGATAATGTCTCATTTAAAAAATAGTTATGATTATACTATTATGTAGAGCAATGTCATATTTTTTCATAAATAAATTCTAGAAAACGAGTCATGTTCACTAAGTATCCCTTTCAATAAAACTCCACAAAAAAAGTCAACAATAACATCATACTCTGTGGAAGTGCAGTGCAGGCCTATTGATCTATATAGAGGCCTCCTAAGGTTTCCTGTTTCTCTGGGATATAAATGGAGGTACTTGAGGAAAACAAATAGTAGTAGCTGCGTCATCTAGGTTAAGGTCAGAGAGCTCTTTGCAGACAGCAGGCAAATCACCATTGACCATCGCTGATTAGGTAGGGGATGGGTATAAAAGAATCAACAAGAAACTACATGTGCCTCTTTCCACTGTAGTGTCCATTATTAATACTTAAGGCTGCTGGGGCAATGGCAGTCTTGCCAGGAAGAGATCTCCAGTGAAGAATTGCAGAGCCCTAAGTCTGAACTCTAAATCCTAAAGCAACAGTTGGTGAATTTCCAATTTCAAGATAGAAATTCAAAAGTCACCTGCATGAATGTTGGGCTCATAGCTAGGTAGCAAGGAAAAAATGTCTTCAGATGGTAAATGACAAAAAGAGGTGACGAAAATGTGTCGGATATCATTTGAGTAACGGCAAAGACTGTGCATCAGTGTTATGTTGGGCTCTTTTCTGTTAAGAACACATTGGTGCCCGCTGTGAAATACTGTGGGAGTCGATTTCGTGTTGCATCTTGTCAAGATGTGGGAAGTTATGAACTCCAGCATGTGTGTTTTTGTTTTGCCAAGAAGCTGAAGCTCGAATGAAATGGACATTCCAGCATGACTGTGATCAAAGCATCCAAATCAACAAAGCAATGGTGAACTGCACGCAGGCTATTTCCTCTCTTGGCCAACTCAATCTCCAGATTTCAGTCCAATAAAGCATTTGTGATTCTAAATCATGGTAATGGTTCACTAACGGAAACCATAGGACCTGGGGGAATTTTCTTCTCTGTTTCTCAGCCTCAAAATATACTGCTGGGGGTAATCCAGTGAGTCTAATCCCTGCCAGGGGAGCCTTTACAAAATATTAACTACAGGCGGTTGAATAAATGTGACCTTCTTTTTTTCTGTATATCAATAATGACAAATTTGATCTTGCCCTGTGATGTTATTTAGATTCCAAAATAACATTTTTAGAATTTTTCTGAAGCATGAAACATCATCCAATCTGCAAATCTGTTTTATTGTTCCTGTTTCATCAGGGGTATGAATACATTTAGAGTGCACTGTATATCTCTTCTCTTTCTCTAACACCCAACGATCCCCCCCCGCTCTCTTCTGCCCCCTAGTGGTACAGCCATCATGCAGGACGGCAACACCATGCGCAACAACTACGGCTGTGACCTGGACTCGCTGACCACGGGCTCTCGGATCGGCATGATGCGCTCGGCCAGCGGCGACTTGCACTACTATATCAACGGCGTGGACCAGGGTGTGGCCTGCACGGGGCTGCCACCAGGTAAAGGTGAATGGAACCAGTTTACTCAACTATTCCGCGCTGGTGCTGGCACTGACTCTGTGAACATTATCCGCAGGCCTTCTCCCGGGCATGAGAGCAGGAGGCCCGTGGTCCTCCGGCATGGCCACCTAACCAAGCCCTGCAGGGAGAAGGAGTAGCTCCGATGAGCTTTTTGCCTCTTACCTCTGTGATGCCAATTTAGTGAGGCGGGAGAAAGGTGTACCCTTCTGTCCTTGAGCCTGGCATCCTGTGCTGCGGACACCACCAAATTTCCATTAATCGGCACAAGGAGAGTTTCCAGTGGCCAGAATATTAGGAATCCACCCCTTCCTCCATGTCTGCGGTTTTGTGTACTCACAGTGTCGGGCCCAAGCCTGAGCATTGCTCTCAGTGGCGTGACGCTCCTCAGACCTGCTCTGGAGCTCGATTGATAATTTACGCCTTCGTTTCCACCGCATCTCTCCCGAATCACGGATTCCTGAAGTTTACTGCCTTCAATAACTGTAAACGTACGTGCTAGATGATTATTTTTGTTGTTTCAGTGTGTAACCGAAAACTGTGCAGTACTCTATTTCCTGTAATGTTCTTTTGATATTTGTTTTGCACAGTGTAAGTATAGCCATGGGGTTTATATATGGTATATAACCCATTATACTCATTTTTTATTATCCACGGACAGTTCAGGAACTTACACCCAGTCCTCCTTCAGTGGGGACAGACATGTTGCTTGGGTTCAAGCAAGGGTGTGAAATATTAGCAGCCCCAATCCCATGATCTTCTATCTGATTGCCTTCAGCTAGGGGTAATTAGTGAGTTTGAGCCTGAACTATTAGATCTGGGGGATTGTTCTGGCCAGTGAGGGTTTACTATGGTAAATTCATTTGATTGGGCGTTCTTAATGTTTTAGTCAGGGTGTATATTTGTTTTTTATGCTTTTTTCTTTGCATTTCTCTGAAAACCCTTGCAGGAGAAGCAGTATGATCTTCAAGTAGATGTCCCACCCCACCCATTACCCACATACTTACAGTGAACCCAGTAAACCCCTCTTCATCTCTGCCTCTGTCTTCCTCTTCTAGACGTGTACGCGGTGATTGACCTCTACGGCCAGTGTGTCCAGGTGTCCATCACCAGCTCCTCGGGGCCCCTGGATAACAGCATGTCCACCAGCAACATCACCGAGAAGAGCTTTCTCATCTACTCGCCAGGTACTCTGGTGCTGTCTGGGAGGACAGCTGGGCAGGAAACTGCTGGTTTCATTTCTGGGTCACAGCGTTGTAGTGGACTGAAGTGGTGTTTGAGCCTGTGTGCTGTAGCCGACCGATTGCTTCATTTATAATCCACATGGCGTCTTCTGGGTCTGGTCTTGGTCTTGCTGGGGTTTAATTTGGGTGGAGTGGTCTTGTATAAATAGACTGGGAGCTAAGCAGAAGCCCTCAGAGATACGGAACCACAGGGCTGCGTGTTGACCCCCCCCCTCCCCCTCTGTCTGCCTGCCAGTGGTGCCCGGCGTTGCCCACCGCCTCCACAGTAAACACGGGAAGAACGTGGTGCTGCAGAACGAGGGCTGCCAGGCGGTGCGTGTGGGCGGGTACTCCCATGGCATCGTCTTCAGTGCCAAGGAGCTCAAGACCGACGAGCTGTTTGAGGTGAGGCCCTGCTCTGCTCTCCCACACAGACATTCCTGTCTGACAATTCTGTTCTTCAAGTCTGTGTTCCTTTCTCTGCCTTCCCTAACCCTATTCCATCTTTCTTTTTCTCTATGCCCCCCCCATCTCCTGTGTTCCCTGTCTTTTAGATAAGATAAGATCACTTTATTGGCCATTTTTATTTATTGTGTCCATGAGACACACAGGCAGGGAGAGAGGAGCTTGGGTTCAGAGCGCAGGGTCAGCCATTTATATGGCGCCCCTGGAGCAGCTGGGGTTAAGGGCCCTGCTCAGGGGCCCAACGGAGTAGGATTCCTCTGCCGGCTGTGGGATACGAACCGGAAACCTTCCAGCCACAGGCGCAGATCCTTAGCCACTGCTCTGCCCACCCTTTCGTACTCTCCCTGTCTCTTTCCTGAATTTCAGCCCCCCCCCCCCCCCACTTCCTCTCAGACGGTTTGGCACTCATCTCCCTTCTGTGCCCCCTTGCACAGGTGAAGATCGATGAGGTGGACCCGCAGTGGTCCGGCTCTCTGCACATCGGGCTGACCACGCTGCAGCCGGCGGACCTGCCCTGCCCCTTCACCGGCCTGTCGCCTTCCCTGCTGGAGCTGCGGTCCAAGGTCACCTGGCTGGTCACGGGGTCGGAGGTCAGGCGCAACGGCATCCTGCAGAAGCAGAACTATGGCTGCTCTCTGGATCGGCTGGCGGTGAGCAGAGTGTGCCGGCATGGGTGTGTGTGGATTCTGTATGGGTGTGCACAGTAGTGTGGCACTTGAGCGTCCTTTATTTTTTGTCAGATTAGATGGGCTCCCTTTGATTTTTTTTTATATGTACCCACCTGATCTGGAATTGCCAAGTCCGTCTTTACGTCTTGGGATGTGATCCTTGTACTGTAGCTGCTGTTTCCTGCCTTTGACCCCACCACCCCATTCAGCCTTTTGGGTTTTGGACAGCGTCAGTAGGTCCGAGATGTCCCTTGCTGATGTCACCATGAGCCTGCAGGTGGCGCTGTGATTACCCCTGTGATCTGGAACATGAGCAAACCCAGGCAGACTAGTCCCACTAGTCCCAGTGGTGGGTTCTCAGATAATTGTGGGACGCTACCTGGGAACGCCCAATCGCAGTCTGCCAGTAACAGTACCCGGTCTCGAACCTGTGACGTCTTAGTAGAGTAGTAGAGGAGTTTATTTGCCATATGTTACATGTACAATGGCATTCTTACTTGTATTGTTCTCTCAGGACATGAACAGTATAGCAGACCACACCACACAATTTAGACAGTACATGACAAAACTAAATAATAGTGACAGTACCTACAGACAATAAATATAACAGGGGAATGAAGACAAACAGATAAATACGTGGTAGATAGTCAAAGTGCAGAGAGCAAAGCTACGTTCAATTCTGTACCATTGCAGTTAGCTGTTAAGGATGCAAAATGCTGTAGGGTAGAAACTGTTCTGAAGCCCAGTAGTTTGTGCTTTAATAGTGCAGTACCAGAGATCCAACAACACGGTTTGGGTGTTAGAAAGGGACCACAGTGAGGGCGGAGAACAGTTTGTGGTCGTGATGGGTGGGATTCTGAGTAATGGGTCGATCAGGCTTAATTGCGACAGTGGTTGGTGTGACTTTCCTCGGATGATGGTAAATCACATCCTATAATCCTCTGTGCTGTGGCCACAACTCTTTGTACAGCATCATTTTCACATTAGTACTGCCCTACCATACCAGTAGCATTGCCACTAGTGAGAACACTTTCTACGGTGCTGTGGAATGAGCAGCTAGTCATGAACATTTACCACATTTCTTTGAGCACAAAGGAAAAAAGCGCAGGCGCTGTCGTGCCCTTTTCAGACTGGCTACTGTGTCGCGAGACCAAGCCAAGTGGCCGGAGGTCTGCAGTCCGAGGAATCGGAAGCAGTCTTGACCGTATGGCCTGTCTTGCGCTCCGAGTGAGCGTGAACCCCAAATGATTCTTTTCTGCACGCGATCTGAAAACCCTGTGTGCGACTGAACAGCATGCAACACCAGTTCACGGTGCGCAATCAGAGGGCGTTAGACGCACAAGGGAGGAAGCCGCAGGGCGGAAATGAGTTTTGGTTTCAGGCGGGACGGGGTCCTAGGGCTCCTTGACTGAGTGTCTGTCCGTCTGTCCCCCCCCCCCCCAGGTGGGAAATCGCGTGGGGGTGAAACGCTGCAGCGACGACACCATGCACATCCTGATCGACGGCGAGGACATGGGCCCTGCCGCCACGGCCGTGGCCAAGGTACCATCGCCCGGCCCCACGTGTCCTCACAGCGTCCTCACAGCGTCCTCACAGCGTCCTCACAGCGTCCTCACAGCGTCCTCACGCGCACACACGCGCACAGGCCGCCTGCTCCTGCTCACGAGGGTCTGTCTCTGTCGCTGCAGAATGTGTATGCCGTGCTGGACCTGTACGGCCGGGTGACGGCCGTGTCCATCGTCAGCTCCACCGTGCTGGAGGAGACGGAGAGCACCAAGGCCCCTTCGCTGTCCTCGGACAGCGGCAGCGAGGGAGAGGAGGACCCCGCGCCGGTGAGGGAGAGGCGAAGGACGGGGGCGGGGTGGGGGGAGGGCGAGAGGTGGGAGAGAGTGGTGGGGTGACCCTGTTTGCCTTTCACATGTTATGCTGAAGTCGGTGGTCTCCCTCTCCCTCTCTCTCAGTGTGAGAACGAAGCCTCACTGGTGCCCACGCCCATGGAGTTCCTAGAGAACCATGGGAAGAACATCCAGTTGTCCAATCAGAACCTGACAGCTGCCCGTGTGTCCAGCTATAACCAGGGCCTGCTGGTCACTGCCCAGCCCCTGCCCCGACAGCAGCTCTTCCAGGTCAGTGTTTCCGTTCCTACCTTTAACGTTAACTGTAATTCTTTCACCGCTTAGTACAATTAATTAAGGCCTCTAAAACTGATTAAGCCTGCCTCCATTACTGAAGCTATAATGGATTCCAACAAACCCTCTGATGTTGATTAATGTTGCTTCTTTTGGCTCATACATTTGCTCTAACACTGATTCCAACTCTAACACTACTTCACAGTGACAGTAATGCCACCTCTGGTTTATTCTTTAAAGCTACCACTGTCACAGACTATAATGCTGCCTCTAACTCATGAACTTTGTGTACAACACAGTACAGTCTCTAGTGGCTCAGACCTCGTCTAAGAATCGCCTGATATGACCTCAGACACTGTCTTTAATGACACTGACTCCCCTCTGGTTAGTGACGCTGTGCGTGTCTCCAGTTCCAGATTGACCGCCTGAATCCCATGTGGACCTCCTCGTTGTCCCTGGGGGTGATCGGACACTGTCCCGACAGGCTCAACTTCCCCGCCACCGCCTGCTGCCTCAAGCGCTCCTCCTGGCTCCTACAGCGGGACTCTGTCTTCCACAACTCCCTCAAGGTACTGCTCCCTCTCTTTTCTCCTCTCCCAGCCTCTTGTCTCGGCTTCTCACAGTCTTTCTCTCCATCTTGTACTTTCTGCTTTCCACACCTCCCTGCAGGTACGACTTCCAATTCAATTGCAATTCAATTCAAGGTGCTTTATTAGCATGACCGATGGGTACACTCAGTGTTGCCAAAGCAAATAAAAATAATAAAATTAACATGGAACAAAACATAAAATCAAAGTAAAATAAAGTAAAATGTATCTGTCTCTTTTAAGACTCTGTGGCCCTGTCTGTCTCTCTCTCTGTCTGCATGTGCTGTTGTGCATCTCTCTCTCAATTCAATTGCAGTTCAATTCAAGGTGCTTTATTAGCATGACCAATGGGTACAATCAGTGTTGCTTCCTCCCTCTGTCGCTCGTTCCCTTTCTCCTGCCCTTCGTTGCTCAGTCTCTTCTTTGCTGTGTGCTGTTTTCTGTGCCCCGGTTGTCTTGAGCTGCGGTACTCTCTTCTCTCCTGGAAAGCTAACTTCTTGCTCTTGGTTACTCTGGTGTTCCTCTGCCCTTCTCCGTTTCACTGTTCCCCACTGGTCACCACTGTTTCTTTGACATTCCTCTCCCAGCAAGCGGCATCATGGCTCGCCTGGCCTGTACTGTCCATCTCCTTGCTGCCCGCAGTGGTCACTCGTTTCTGGGTGTGACAGGCCACTAGCTGCCCCGTCTCTCTCTCCCTCTACCCGAGTTTCAGCAGGTCCCTTGGGTCGCCCTGTCACTCCCTTCTCCCTCTCTCCCTTCCTCCCTGCAGATCTGTGAGAACTACGGCCCTAACCTGGACACCTGTCCCGAAGGAACTGCGCTGGGCCTGCTGGTGGACGCCAGCAACTGCCTGCACCTGTACGTCAACGGGATGGACCAGGGAGCGGCCGCGCAGGACATCCCGAACCCCTGCTTCCCCATCATCGACCTGTACGGCCAGTGCGAGCAGGTAGGGCGCCCTGCTTTTACAGACAGGTGAAGGATGGAGGGGGCTTTGCACGCAACTGCAGCAGACAGACTCGGTTTTTAGCGGCAGTGAGGGATACCAAGGCAGAAGACGGGGAAAACTACCTACGTGGCGACTACAGCTCTCCCTGCCCCTGCCGGGATGCGATCCCGGTCACTCGTGGGCTCCCAGCATGCACAGCGCCACTCCCTGGACTGCAGGTCATTCTTTCACGCCAAGAGGGCAGATGCCCTCTCCGCCCTGTCCACAGCAGTTTTACTCTGTCTAGATGTCAGAGGAGGGGGCGATACCTCTGGTAGATCTGTGAGGTACGTCTTCTGTAAGCTGCTCCTGGGATTCATTACCCTGGCTCCTTGTTCTGTGGTCTTGTCGAGAACCCCTGAGCTGACCAGGCCTGCATCTTTCAGGAATCCTAATCAAGTCTCCCTGTGTTCTCTTCTGTTAGCCACCTCTAAGAGCAACATCAGAGGCAGCCCCAGCAGCAAACCCCATGAGATCTTAAAGATAAACTATTCTTTGGTTTTGTACATGTGCTATCATCTTGGGAAGGGCTCAGTATGAAGAATAGCTTACAAATAAGAGAGCTGCGCTTGGTCTAGATTTGTTATTCGTGCATAAGATCCCGCCGTCCTCTTGCTTCCCGTTTCCTGTCCTGAATATGCTTGACCAACAATGAACTGAGCTGGCCTGGAAGTTGTTGGTCTCAGCGGTCGGGGTTGTGGCTCTCCTGCAGGTTACCATAGTGACGAACGACGTGCCGGCTGTGGGCGGTGAGGGCAGTGACACCCGTTGCCAGGCCGACATGGAGAAGGCAGATATGGTTGATGGTGAGCTTTTAAATTGCTAAATTTAAATTCTCACTTGAATCGATGACGGTTCATGGTCACTTCCTGTTGGAAGTAAGGGCCCCGACGGGGACACACTGGGAGGAGGCTATGTGGCTCCTCAGTCTCTTGCCACCGCTAGTAGCGGATAAGGGAATGAGGTGGCGTTTTGGAGGAGTGGGCAGAGCTGGAAATTGCTGGCTGGTTGAGCGGCCTCTTCTCCCCCTCCCCCAGGCATCAAGGAGAACGTGTGCTGGACGCCCCCGCCAGAGGTGAACCCCATGAAGACGTGCGAGTACCAGGCGCTGTGCTCGCGCTTCAAGGACCTGCTGACCCTGCCAGGTGCGTGTTCCACCAGGGGGCGCCACACCAACGCCCCTTTGACCGACGCTCAGTTTCTTCTCTTAATACGTCTTTTGGTGTTGGACTATTTTCATTTGTTGTTGTTTTTGACCTGTTTTGAAGTTTTGGCTCCCCCTAGAACTGTTGGCATTGGGAATCACAGACAGCAAAACTAGATATTCATTAATACAGAACAATCAGGGGAAGCGAAGTGGGAATTGATATATGTGTTTTTAGCTACTGAAACAATGGTGTTGACGTGGCCTAGAAGGGTACGATTGTGTTACGTCATCCAGAATTGCTTAAAAGTCAGTAACTCCAAAAGTTACTGAACTGTAAAAAAACGATGCTGCTCAGAAGTTGCGGAGTCTAGCAGAGGTCTTTGACTCTCAGACTCTTTTTATAAAAAGATCCATTCACTCCCTTCCCATTTCTTGCTCAGATGGGTATTTCAACGAGGACGCCAAGGTCAACCTCTGCTACTGCGAGTCCTGCCACAAGCTGCGGGGTGACGAGGCGTACTACAAGCGTGGGGAGCCCCCCAAGGACTACGCCCTGCCTTTCGGCTGGTGTCGCTTCGCCCTGAGGTCAGCACCCCCCCCCCTCTCTCTCCCGCCTGGGGAGCTGGACCTAAGCGCACGGTTTGAGCCAATCAGGAGCGACCTTGTGATCGCAGGACTGGAATCAGGCTCCCGCTGCGCAGCGAGCTGATCCGTTTCCAGGTTTTACCATCTTCAGGGCTTTGACACGGATTGTGATAGTCCGGCAGAAAACTGAAATTCTTAGATTTAACACAAAACCTAATATATTCATCTGCACACCTTTGCTCAAGCTAACAAAGTGGTATTTGGAAAACACGAACGAAATATCCGTACCGTTGCAGCATTAACTCAGCCCACGGATGTCTTTTTATTGCCCCTGTGTTGAGGGACGCCAGACAAGGACCCCCTTTCTTTGCATGCGTCTGCTTGTTCACAGCTCTGACCTGCTGTTGGATGTTTGTCTCTCTTTTTCTCTCTCTCTATCTCTGGTACAGGATCAACCCTCGCTGTGAGGTGGCCAACGTCTTTAAGAAGTGGCACATCGCCTACCATGGCACTACAGTGGGGTCTCTCCGGCGGACCCTTGACCACAGCCAGCTCGTCTCAGGTGTGCACAGTGTGCGGCTCGGGGATTTGTTTTAGTCTGGTCACTAGCCAACTGTGACCAGGATTCCCCAAGTGCTAGCGCACAGTGGGCCTGGTGCCTCCTGGGATAGGCCAGGGTTTTGGGTGGCGCACAGTGGGGCGGTGGGATAGGATGGGCTTTCCTCTTCATGTTCCTGAGGGTCAGAAGACCCCTGGAACCATGTGAGCAGCAGCTGATTCCTCATACAATGGGTATAAAATTGCATATAGCTTCCAATTCAAAATTCTTGAGGTTAAACCAGTGCAAGTAGGTCCTGGCAATGGAACCATGGATACGATTCCTCAGTGGCTGGGGCTGTTATTGGTTTGATTTGGGATCGCTGGGATTTTAGAGTCACTCAGGGTACTGTTTCCTCAACGTTATAAATGAATCTCTCGTGAACTGCAGGCTCCGCGTCCATCTTCTCCGTGACGCAGACAAAGACGGAAGCACAGAATGGATACAGTGACCCTGAGAACAGTGCTCCTGAGAGGGAGGCCCCCAGAGTGCAGCTGTCTCCCACAATGCGCTACTCTGGCCTGGAAACGTTTGCCCCTAAAGTGCAGTAAGTGTCCCCAAGTTTGGATTTGATTTTGATTAGACGTGCAGTATGGATATTTGTGGCGACTGCACTCTCTTCCAGTATGATCCAGATGCTCACTCTCTGTGTGATTGGCAGTATGATACAGATGCACACTCTCTCACTCTCCGTGTGATGGGCAGTGTGATACAGGTGTGCCATCTCTCACTCTCCGTGTGATGGGCAGTATGATACAGGTGTGCCATCTCTCACTCTCTGTGTGATGGCCAGCATGGTACAGGTGCTCTCTCTCACTCTCTGTGTGATGGGCAGTGTGATACAGATGCTCTCAGGTACTTCATACCCTGACAAAGTACAGGCTCAGTGACCACAGCCTGGCCATAGAAACTGGGCGACACAGGCAGACCTGGCTGCCCAGAGAGGACAAACTCAGTGACCACAGCCTGGCCATAGAAACTGGGCGACACAGGCAGACCTGGCTGCCCAGAGAGGACAGGCTGTGCTCCCACTGCCAGCGGGGAGAAATAAAGACAGAGGTGCACTTCCTACTGCACTGAGACAGATACTCTGGGATTAGAGAAACATTCTTCACTAAACTCAGAAATCTAGTCCCAGAGTTCCCACACCTGCCAGAATCACAACGGGTCCTAATCCTACTGGGAGAGGGAGAGGGGAACTCAGTTGAACTGGCAGCCCAGTATGTGATCTCCAGTCACAGCCTGAGGAACAGTGAGCCTGTCTCCCAATAACGCTCAATACGTTTACAGTATATGTCAATATTTTATGACATGTCTCTGTTGTAAATGTCTGTAGATTTTATTTTACTTTTATTTTGTGTTTTGTTCCATGTTAATTTTCTTAGTTTTATCTGCTTTGGCAACACTGATTGTACCCATCGGTCATGCTAAATAAAGCACCTTGAATTGAATTGGGAAAAAACCATTGCTCTCTCTCTCGGCAGATTCCGAGATCCACGCTCCCATCGCTTTCATCAGGCCCAGGTGGCTCTCCAGGTGTGCGTGCGGCCGGGCTCCTACAAGGTTGGGCCCCAGAGCCTGGGTCTCAGTGAGCCGCTGGATCCCCGCTTCAGCAACAGTGAGATCGAGTGGATCACCAAGGAGAAAGGAGGAACCCTGCTCTACGGACTGCTCATCCGGGTGGAGTGAGCAGTAGTGTTGTGGGATGATGACCCAGGAATGCGGATATTCCGGGGTTCTCCTCATCTCTCGGAGTGGCGGCGATGTTCGTCGGGGGCATTTTATGCGACGGCCGATTTTGTATAGACTATTTTTTGGGGGTGGGTGGGCAGGAGGGGCAAGGGGGGGGAGGGGGGTTCCGTCAAGAGAGACACTGCCTGCACTCTATATTTTGAAGAAGCAGGCGATTTTTAGACTCGCCATCAATCGCATTCTCTTACTCACTCTCCCTCACGTTCTCATACGCGTAGGATTTAGGATTTCCTCCACAGGCTGCCATTCAGTCATTCTTCCATCGGGCTCTCCCTCTGTCTCGTTCCCTCTCTTTATGTCCGTTTCCTGTCACTTCCTGTTCCCAGGAGACTCGGTCGCAGGTCTTTGGCAGAGAACGTGCCAGTTTCGTCTCCGCCTGTAAACCGGACGGACACACGCATCTCCACACACACACCGGTTGCACACCTGCTCGCTCTTGCAACAGAATTACACTCTGGAATCTTTTTAAAATTGGGGGGGGGGGAGACTACTTTTGAAAACAAATTGACAGAAACTCTCAAGCGAAATCAGGAAGATGGACGTGCCTGTAAAGGACTCGGGGGGAGAGAGCAGGAGGGGTTCTGTGGAGGACAAGGGAGGATCCTGTTGCGTCTCCTCCCCTATAAGCTAAACCTCCCTGCCTCTCCACTCTCTCCTCACTCAACGTTTCTGGACTTCTTTTTAATTGGTTTTTATTTGAAGTTCGTTCTTGATTGCCAACCCCTGCTTCCTCCACTTGAACTTGCACACCACGCATCTCTTTCTGCATCCCGGGACTCAGTTCAGCGCCAGCAGCTCATCGGTCGCTGACCTTCCTCCTTCTCAGCCTGCACATTCAGCGGACCCGCCTGCCTTTCAGCTAGGTCCTTAGCCCGCTCCGGCGATTTCTCGGCTGCGCCCCCCCCCCGCTAAGGAAGGCGTTAGCACTGTGTTAAGACCTGCCGCCCCCTGCTTCTAGCTCTGGGGGATCGATAAAAGTGACGCTGGGCAGAAGGGCAGAAGCCATCATTCAATCAGCTCCCCTCTCAGGAAGCAGGAAGGTTTGATCCCTGATCCAAAGCGGAAAAGGAGGAGGGTTGCCGATTTGCTTAGAGAAGTGGGCAGTGATGGGAAGGGTATCGCCAAGACCACAGAACAAGGGTCTCATCAGGAGTCTCGTTTACCTTGCCTGCACTACGGCTGCGGTACTTTTTTTTTAACAGCCTCCAGCGACAGTGCGACAACTGACTCATAACAGCACATCCCCATTCCTGCCTTTCGGGATCCGATCTGCAAATCCGCCTTGCAGTCTTTCTCCAGTGAGGCCGAGACCGCAGGTGGTGTAGAGCGACTGAAAAGCATTGACCTTTATATTGCAGAGCTGCGCTCCTGTACGAGACAAAGATCTGCTTTTCTCACCTGTGGGGCAGGATCTTTGGTTTTGTGTTTTGGGGGGGAGTATTGGCAGAGTCAGCTGCTTCTCAGGACCTCGGGTCCAAACCTCAAGAGATCCCGTGAAGGTGGCTGTGAAGATTCGGCAGTGCGTGTGGCACCCAAACTATAAAGCATACGTGAATGAAATTGCGTAAGCACGCGTGTAAGGTCAGCTGGGGCGTGTTCCTTGTTCCAGCGTTCAACATTTATATCACTTTGTTCTCGAATAATTATAACATCGGGATTTTGCTCTCGAGCAGAAGCCTTGTTCACACTTCCGATTCCCCTGAGAGCTTGGGAGTAAAACCGAACGCTTTCTCTAAAACTGTAAGAATAGTATTCACCCTGATGTTGTGTATGAGCACATACTTAGTATTGGCACAATAACCAGTTTTAATTTACAAAGTCATTCTTAAAAACATCACGCTGTTAAAATGTCCAACTCTGGTCCAGGAGGGCTGTAATGTCTGCGAGTTTTCATTCTAGCTCAACTCTTAATGAGTTAATTGAGCTCATTATTGCTTAATTGGACCAGCTTATTAGCACTTCCCCACTCTTACAGTGTTGCTGGTCCTTAAACTGACCCGTTAAACCTGTTGAACTGCCAGCCCTCCAGGAGCAGGTCTGGACCGGCTATAAAAGTAATAAATTACAGGTTGTGGTTTCTTCAGAGCTTGTCGGCGTGATGATACAGAAAACGACCCTTCCAAGTTCCAAGAGGAGTGAGTCAGGTGTGCTTTTACGGCTTCGGGTGTGGGAGGGAGCTGGCCGGTGGTTCTGCAGGGCTGGAGTGTGGAATTCACTGCCCTGCTGTTGTGCGCTGAACTGAGCGATTCGGAGCCGTCCCGTGCAGGGTGCAGGAGCTCATTGAAACATGCCTGGAAAACCAAATGGACTGTCTCCCTCAAGCGGGGAAGAGTTGAGCATCACGGAGATGAATACCATTCTGTTGAACTGGATACAGTAAAAGACATTCTCTTAAGACCACACATCTATAAAACCAAATGGATTCCCTTCCTGGCCGTGGAAGAGCTGAACATCACTGAAATAAGTCTGTATCCCCTCCACCTGCTATCCTGCTGAACGTTTACTGTTGGGGGTACTTTGAAATTATCTTTTGTATCACGATTTTAATTTTTCCATTCAGCTCGGGTCATGGGCAATGTGGGTTGGCGCTCTTAACTTGGGGGGAAACCAGTGTTTTGAGTTGAAGCTTTCAGACAGAGAACTGGGGAATGCGTGTTTGAGAAAGTTTACATTTTCATTTAATCAGAAAATGCCCAATGTTCCCTTGCCTATTAAATGCTACTGACACCAAGTTGAAGTTTTAACGCAACCTGAAGAAGCTTAAAAAAAACGTGTGAAATATAGTAATGCCTGTATAAGGTATAAGGCTTACTTAAATCTGTCTAGAGGGTTTAATGAAAGTGATATTTTTTCAGTGGCATCTCTTTACTCCTTTATCTCCCAGTTATATTTTTATCTCTCAAGTCAAGTACTGTACCCTCATTTTCCCAGGCTCTTCAACATAGCCCCTAAAGGCTTGTCCTTCATTCTGTACCACAGGTGCCCACAATTAATTCTCCTTTTCCCAGTTACCAGCACACTGTGTATACTGGTCTCTATTGACCCTCCCACTCATTCCTCTGGCTGCTGCTGTGTGGTTGTCCCTCAGAATCTTCACAAGTTACACGCAGTATATCATCTGCAAGAAATGGGACATCTGTTTTGCCGTTGTCAACAAGTCTCTTAAAGTTAATTTAGCGCTCTAACCTTAAAAGAATGTTTTCTTGCAATAGCTTTAGTGTTTAAGGGCAGTGTCTGTCAGTGTAGCTGCAGGACATTTTCACGACCCTAGCCTTATCTGCCCTGTGCCCTGGTCTCCACACCTAGTTCCTCATCCCCTACACATCAGTCCCCTAGGCCAAACAAAAGAGTTGTGCAGGAACTAAGGGGTTGGTAACATCAGGGTTAAGGAGCTCAGTTTGGAGAACCAGTGATCTCAAGGCCTATGGTGCACTGGGGTAATGGAGAATGTTGCAGGAGGCTTCTGGGAAATGGAGTTTTTAATCTCATTTAAGGACATCAGTACAGGTGTTGAAAACCTGTAAAATCTGTCCTATTTCACAGTCCTCTGGGCAAGTTACATGGACTTCATACAGATTTTAAAGCTACAGTAAAACCAATTGCAGCAGTAAAATCATTCTTGCTTTAAAATCAATTTGATTTGTTAACATCTTGCAGCTTTAGAAGAGAAATTGCTCTGAAGTTCAGGCACTTACCTCAAGAATGTGTACATTTCTTTTCTCTACTCAAGAATGTCTGCTGACTAAATTTGGCACTTTTTTTTTTGTTTTATTGTTTGAATCGTCCAATCCCATATTTTCACCTGGATAACAGTCCATGCCAAATGTTGTCTGGGAAATGGCGTCTTTAGTGAAGGGGTTTTTGGGTAATGAAGTTTGTTCCTTGTTCTGCTTCTTAATGGAGGCAGTTGGCCATTGTTATAATTTATTTAAAGAAAGGAAAATTACTTTTTTTAAAGAAAAGACATGCTTACAGTGTCAACCTGAAATGTGAATATATGGGGTCTTTACACCCAGAGCTGCTTTTTTATTTGTTTGATTTACTTTCTTTGTATTTTCTGTTGTACAGACTGTTACATATGAACCATATCTTCCTGATTTGTAAAGAACAAAGAAATTATGCACATTGTATGAAACCACCTGGTGTCTTTGTCAAATTTCTTTTGACGTTCTCATTATGGAGGGGCTGCACAAGGGTACAGTTAATTGATTTTTTGAGAGCACATGAAATAGGGATTAACTGAATAACGCTAATTAGGCACATCGTTTGGGTGAGTCAGTTTCACTCTTGAAGTCTGGTATCCTGCATTACCATAGGGGTACTTCTAAATAGCTGCTGGTCAGTGTTAATTTAACTGTGTGTTAACTTTACTTCTTAGCCAATTAGTTCAATTAAGGTAGTACTTAAAATGAAAGCCAGGCAGAAAGCCAGTGGCGTAGTATTGTCCATAACCAGAGATTTAATAATGTCCACATTATTAGCAGTCATGCCTACTCTCTTTAGGATCTTAAATTGCATTACAAGTTCAAGTTTTCAAGTTTCAAGTTTGTCATTACACTCGTATACATGGTATATGGTATAACGAAATGCTATTAAGCTAGCTCTCGGACATAAGTAGTACAAAGAGAAAAAAAACAACAACAACAATACAATTGTGTAGCAAACGAAAGACAGAGACAGCAGGCAGTGTGCAAAAAAACAACAGACGATGTGCAAAACAAAAAGGTAACAGATTATGTGCAAAAATATGCATCAACAGAATAAAATAAAGGGATAGAAATTATGGGGAGTGAGCTTATGACATGTATGGTAGAGGTAGATTTTCAATGTGTGTTTGGGTTTTTGGAAAGAAAGAGAGGAAGAAGGCACTGTGAGGTTCAGATCATAGGTGAGAGTGAGAGAGCACCAAACGGAGCACATGAAAGGAACAGAAGAGGAAAACGGGGAAAATGGTTTGTTATTCCCGTTTGCACATCCCTGGGAAACGATAAGGAACTGTAGATAGCAACGGTTTCCAGATTTGAAAGATAACGGGACTGAGAATTGAAACTCTTTGGTGTAACCATATGATATAGTAGCAGAGGGTTGAGGATATAAGGCGGTCAGATCGGAGCTGTAACACATCACGGCTCCGGCAGAGGGAGCACTGCGCGTTGTTTCTCTTACTTTTCCTTGTGTCATCGATGGAAAACCGGGTTCTGCTGTCCTGAGTTACTTCTGTAAATCGCCTGTCACCTATCTCCTCTCCCCCCACAAAACAGCAGGTAAGGAAGGCGAAGGGTATGCCGTGTCTAATTTTTATCTCCGTTCGGTTGTTAAACTGGAGCTGGTCTGTCAGAATCGGTATTATATTATAGGAGCCACATAAACAAACCCACGTGTAAGAGTTGTTTCGGGCATCCCTGCTCGTGTTAGCAAAACGCGTTTTCCTGACTCTTAACGCCGCGTATTTCCAGCGTTGTGTATTGTAGCTAAAACCTGTGTAGGTGAAATGGAGCAACGGAACCCTCCCGCCCACCGGTCTTAGCAACGGGGGCAGCCGCGTCACTTTGTCCCGTGGCGTGGGGGAACTTCAGCCCGAGGCTTGGAAAGGCCTACGTTCCTCGTTGAGTAACAGAAATTCAGTGTTGGGAAACCGTATAATGTTAAATAACGTCTGCCCGAATATTCATTTGTTGGTCTTTTTTTATCACATTAATACTCATGACGTAAGAGCCAATGTTATAATTCCAAGAATCGCACTGAACCGTCTCCGACCGATGATGTGAAAGAATCACCTCATTGATGTGGTACTTGCTTATACTGTAGGTGGTGTAGTTGTTCCTTAAGCGACCTATTACCGATGTCCTATCTAATTAAGTATTCCCATTCGAAATGAATACGCGCCATTTGCTTGGGGAGTTTATTATAATACGAACATATAAAATTAAAAAAAGATCCACATCGTCACTTTGTGACTTTCTTTTGAGATCCCCTGTCTTGTGTAAAGATAACTTCAGCTTTGTTTCATGTGGTGGCGGTAATATTTTTATATTGCTGTAATCCCAAGCATAAAAAAACAGTGTGCTGTCTCCCTGATCCTCAGGGTGCTGCTGTCTCCTGTCTCCCTGATCCTCAGGGTGCTGCTGTCTCCTGTCTCCCTGATCCTCAGGGTGCTGCTGTCTCCTGTCTCCCTGATCCTCAGTGTGCTGCTGTGTGCCGTCTCCCTGATTCACATTGTGTTGCTGTGTGCTGGCTCTGTGATCATTCTCCCTGATCGTTACTGTGTGCTGTCTCACTGTGCTGTGTTTTCCAGGTGGCGCGGCAGAGACAGTTCAGTGCCAAGATGCAGAGAAATGGCAGTGATTCACACCCTCTGTTTGGGGGTGCACTATCGGCTGTCCTGCCTCACAGCATCTGCGACATCAGGTGAGCCCTAAGTACTAGAGAGCCTGTAAGCTACACAGTATGTATCTAGCAGTGGACCTGCCAATGCAAAGTCCTCATGACCCCACTGTCTCATCTGAGCAACTTGCAAGGTTTCCCATTTGTCTATAATAATGTTGAGCACAGGCTACTTCATGGTTTGTTTTAAAGCACGGACTTTGGGAAAGTGGAAATTAAGAGTATGTGCGTTTATGTCTGAGAACAGGAATGGGTTGACTGCAACAAGCTAACGAGAAATGTTATAAAAGCAGATTCCATGGAATCCTTCAGGAAACAGCCGTGAGACCTCTTTGGCTCCATTAGCATCTACCAATCGTGTCTGTGCCTGAATGTGTAACGTGTGATTTTGCACTGTTGACAGTGAGCTGAGGGAGATCCCGGACAATCAGGAGGTTTTTGCTCATCAGCACAGTGACCAGAGCCTCATTGTGGAACTGCTGGAGTACCAGAGCCATGTGCTGGACGGTGAAGCTGCCAGGTACTGTCCTATCTCTTCACTGGACTTCCAAAAAGCAGTTTTCCCATTGTGTGTCTAGAAAAAAACAAGTACACAGGAAATTATGTAATAAAATACATTTCACTCGTTCGCCCTATTTATAAAAATGTACAGTGATCTGTCACTGCTGTCCTGGACAGTGTTAAGGGAAAATTTGTTTAATAAATTCCTAGTCTAAGGTGTGGCTGTTGATCCTGCCTGGTTTTCAGTGTTCATTTTTTGTTGTGCATCCGTCATACCAGCTGCTTAAGGTGGAATAAACCAGTCTGAGAGTTGTGAGGTGACCCTAAGTGTGAAACAAAGAGACAACACAGGAAAGTGTGGGTAGCAGGGAGTGGGATGATGAGCACTTAAAATAAGCGTGGTGCAGCCAAACACAGTCCAGCGTCCTAGTCCAGACAGGTGGGTTTCGAAGCAGAGATGAGTTAGCAAAGTCAGTTATTGAGAAAACACTGTAGAGAAGCACAAGGGAGAGTCAAAAGTCAGAGCAGGCAAGAGTCAAGAATCCAAGAAGAAAACCAGCAGGAATTCAGGAAACTAGGCAGCAAAGCTAGGATCAGAGTTAAACTGTGCCAGAGCCCCGAGCACAACTACTGCCAGAGCAGATTTAAATACCCTGCTTCACCTGAGATGGGAACAGTCATGCATTGCCCACAGGTGAAACAGGCTTCACAGGTGAAACAGGTTGTGTGCCCTTGACGGTCGGGGGGGGTGACCACCACAGTTATATCTTTAATCTTGTTTTTGCCTGGTACTGTTTACCTACTAAAAAATATAGTGCCTTGTGAAAAGTCTGTTTTCACCTTTTGATGCTTTTGACTGGAATTAAAATGCATTATAATATTTTATTTACAAATCCTACCCCATAACCTTCAAGTGAAAAAAAAATATTTTTGTAAATTAAAAACTGAAATCGTTTGGTTGAATAAGTGTCCAACCTCCCGTAACAGCACTGTAAGTTATTTGTCACCTCCTGTCACTACCCGTGTCTGTATTTTTCTGCCCACTGTAATATCATATCTTGACAGTTTAGTGGTTTACTGTTTATCACTGATTGCAAGCTACTTCAGCAATCTGAGGTAGGTGTCCCTGTGGATGAAACATGGCCTCAAACTGAATTTCCTGTACTTCAACCCTGGACCCCTAGGGCTCATTGGAAGATCAGGCTTGGTTACCCCTGCTACCTCTTCTGTTTTGCATCCTGATTTGGGAATTTGACAGGTTTTTATGGGCTTTAAGGCTGCATGCCCCGTACCAAGGTTCACAACATGAATGTTTCTGACATAAGGAATATGTGTGCGGAAAAGTGTTCCATTATTGTTTCAAACCAAAACGCTGTAGCTCCATTATTTCATGAGGGCTATTAAGAAGGCAGAAAGAGATAGAAAACAAGGGTGCCTTTCTTGTAACTGCCTGTTACTGGCATTCTTAAGTTTGTGGAGGATTGCAAAAGCGCAGCGATGAATTCTGTTTGCATGTTTCTCCCGGGGTGTGGTGCGACCATGGCTTACTCAGCTCGGCAGAGCCCCTGAGTCGTGTGTGTGTGCCTCCTCTCCCCCCAGGTATCACTTCGAGGACGTGGCCCGCAGTAACGAGGCGGGGGGCCCCGGCGTGTCGGAGGTGCGCAGCTTGGAGCCCCTCGCCAAGGCGCTGCTCTCCCTCCCGGACTGCAGCTCAGCCTGGCTCCTGGCTGGCACCCAGCTGGTGTCCAAGTTCAACGAAGAGGTCAGCGGCTCCCCAGAGTCCTGCCCTGGGCAGCTGTTCTCCTCCGTGTCCCCTCGCGGCCCCGGGGGCACACGACAAGGGCACCAGGCGCCCAGTCCAGGACCAAATCCCACACTTTTTTTGAATATTAACAGTCGTTTCTCCCATTTATGTAGCTGGTGCTCTTGTTTGTACCGTACAGCCCAACCGTTCAGATGAAAAAGTAATTTGATATTAAAAATAGACCGAACTGGAGCTCAGAAGCCTCCAAGTTTTTTTCCCCTAAAACCAAATAAAGATCCTGGCAGTTCCCTGCGTGCTCTAGGTTGTTAGGGGAAGGAGGGCGAGTGCGAGCCGAAATTGGCCCGACAGTGGGTCAAGGAGGGTGGGGTGTCGACCTGGACTGTGGCTTTATGAAAACAGGATAAGACCAAGGTATTGCACCCAGTGGTGCTGCACTGCAGTGGTGGACGAAGTAGATCTCCTGTATCCGAGTACTTTTGAGGCTCTCTGGAATGGAAAGCTCTGTATTGGAAAGTTTATATTTAATATGCATGAGATTAACAGTGGCTTACAGGGGCAACGACTGTTACTGTAAGTTACACCGACCGCCAGCCCTGCAAGTTGTAGACCTCAGCTGTGTTTGTGAGAAAGCCAAGACAGCCCTTTCTCTCTGATTCTAAACCTCACCCCTGTGGCACCCTGCCGGTCATCCGCTGCTGTCTAGGGGAACTTCGGGCACAATCAGTTCAAGTCATCTTGAGGGCTATAGAGCTCAACCTGCCATCACCCAGGTGGGGCTGCACACTGGTGGGGTGGACTGGAGTCCCCGTTACCTGTAAAGTGCTTTGATTGGAGTGTCCAGAAAAGCGCTGTTTAAGTGTAAGGGTTATCATAATTAATGATCATACAAGTCTCATCTTTGACAATGTTCTTGGATTTTCAGCTGCATGGTTTTGATTTCATCTGCCCATTATGTCCAGATGATAATTTTTCTCTCTCTCAACAGGCAAAGAACACAGTGAATATATACCTGGGACTGTTCCGGCTGCCTCAGCACTCCACAGACATCATGGTCACCTTCAATGACCCTGTCTCCATCAGGTAAGGACACCGTCTCTGCTCTGCTGCTTGTGTGCTGTGGAGTGATGTCTCCTGGTCCTGTAGAGCCCTGGCAGGCATCGCTGCGGTCATCAGTCAGACGCTCAAGGCCTCAGTCAAACTGAGTCACTAGTTGATTCAGTTAAAAACCTGGGAGATGGACTGGCTTGAAATCCAGAGTCATTTGTAGAGATAAGATCACTTTATTGGCCATATACAATTTCTTGCATTAGGAATTTGTCTTTTCGCATACCCCAGCTTGCTCTCCATGAGACACACAGGAGAGAAGCTTGGGTTCAGAGCGCAGGCTCAGCCATTTATATGGAGCCCCTGGAGCAGCTGGGGTTAAGGGCCTTGCTCAGGGGCCCAACGGAGTAGGATTCCTCTGCCGGCCGCGGGATTTGAACCCGCAACCTTCCTGCCACAGGCGCAGAACCTTAGCCATAGTGCCACCGCTCCGCCCTGTAGCTCAGCAGAACCTGTTAGATGATCCAAATGAAGGAGGATCTGTCTAGCTTGTTTGTGTGCTCAGTCGCCCAACCAGTTACCCATTGATGGGCAGATCTAAACCTAAACCTTAATTAGCTGTTGGAAGGATTCCAGGGAATCGGTCTGTGTGTGTTGCGGATCTGGGAAAAGGATGGTGCAGTGCCTCTCTCTTCCTCTGTGTCGCCGGCAGCCCGCTCAGCAGCAGCACGGGAGGGGCCTCGGAAATGGCCACAGCTCCCTGGACCCTGGAGGACTTCCGGCTGGTACTCCATACGCTCCGGCTCCTGGACCCAGCGGTGTTTGGCTAGGAGCCCCCCCCTCCTCCTGAATCTGACATCGCCTCCCCCCGCCAGCCCCCATCTCCACGCATCTCCACCCGTCTCCTGCCTAAGCATGCCACACAGCAGTGCGCACAGAACTCCTGAGAGGCACTGCTGCTTCATCCCAGCAGCTCCGCCCCGTCTGCCTGGGTCACGCCTGGGGTACAGAGTGACTGGAACTGGTGCATCTTGTTCATGGCATCAAAACGGCAGCAGGGGCTCAGCGAGACATTTTCTGGTGCTGCTGTTCTCTTGGGCTTTGAAAGGAAAAACAGGTTTTACCACCACGAGTTACTTTTCTGTTCAAAACCTCAGAAGATGCATACCCTTTCATTTAACTGGAGACCGAATACAGCGAGCCTTGACATGACAGGATTCTCACCTTCTCAAGACCAAAGCTAATACCCGAAGAGTGATGAAACAAAATGTGACAAGCACTTGAGCTTCAGCGTGAATAAATATACAGTGAAATGGAGGCATCAAAAGAATCAGGTGCCTGCGGTGCCCTTCTCTACCTTGATGGACGACGATGAATGAAGGAGGCGAGCAAGTCTTGACTTGACTGGATCAGCAGGATAGACTGAAGTGTGACTTTGCAGTCACTCTTAACTTTGCAGATAGGTGGTGTTCAAGTCCGTCTTTGAGGGAGGTGTGTGTGGGGAGGCTGTTTGCTTCATTTGAGGTCAGCTGAGAAAAGAACACGCCTGTTCCTCCGCAGAACTCCTGCTATCAGCAGGATTGCTATCTGGGGAGTTACTGGCACTGGCTTGTAACTGTTTGCTTTAAACTGTGCTGTTAGATGCGTGATATGGGGAAGATCATTTGTTTTCTTCCCAGATGTAAGTGTGTGTTTTGGTTCCAGCCTGTTTTGTTATTGATTGACTCATACTGCTTCAGAGGAATGAAGACATTCTGTTTGGCCTCTCATCCTGTGCCTGTTTCAACACCATGTTGACTTAAACTGATTAATTAACCCTACGTGTGTAAGAGCTCATTGTGAAATAAAAATCAGAGGTTTGGGGTTAGGAAGGTGCTTTCTCGCATTATCAATGTTTTTCTTTGAGCTGACTCCTGCTGTTTAACCTCTGTAGGTCAGCAGTCCTCTGTTCCTCTTTTGCTCTGTTGACATTGCACACCCTTGCCAAGAGCACACGCTGTCTTCTTTCTTCCTTGAAAACCTAACTGCACCTCCCTTAATGTGTCACTGCTGTGTGACCTCGCTGGCCAACACAAACACACAGTCTCCTTGTTCCTTTAAAACCCTTCTCCAGTTACTGTGCTTTCCTGCCCTGTTCAATAAAATATCTTATGCCATAGTGATACAGGACCCTGAGTGGTTCTGTGATGTAGCCTCTTAATTGAAATGTACAGAGCAAAAATTCTAAAATGGTAAAATTGTCTGAAGAGCTGGCAGTAAGGGGCAACAGTAATCAGAAAGGCGCCATTAAACACCTTACTGCTGTGTTTAGTGATGCTCACAATTTAATAAACCTTTGTTAGCCTCAGAGGCGAAGCAAGAGCAAAGTCCTGTTTACACAAGAGGTGGAATATCCCTTTATATACAGTATAGTGTGGTGTTGGGCCAGAGCAGTCCGAGCAGAGTGCCTTTCTCAAGAGTACAGCACCAGCACCTCAACCGGGAAATGAGCGCAGGGAAGTCCAGAGCTCTGCTCAGTGCTGTGCCCTGCGGCCACAAATGTCCCACGCTGCGATGTTGCATATTAACTGAAGCGATTCCTTTACCTTGTGCGGTTCCCAACCACAGTTGGTCAAAGTTCCAGCCCTCAGGGTTTTACAGGTACCGTTTGGTCATGACTAAAGCCTTGAATAAGATTCTTTACCTTATCCAGACACCTAGTTCAACTGACCTCGGAGACGATCCCCTGCAGCCTCAGTTCCAAACCTGGGCACCAGTACACCTGTTGTTTATTTTCCCATCCGAGAGCTTACTTAAATAATTGAACCTTTCACAGCCCTAGTAATAGGGTTTAATTTGAACTTTCTGTTTTCAATACCTAAACCCATAGAAGGTCACCTTTTAGTTATTGTTTCGTAAGTCATTTCAAATCTTTAACCTTTGAGTAGGCAGGAAAACAAAACTTGCTAGGGTTGTAACCAAGGAACTTCCTGGTTCAGTTAAGGATGCATTTAAGTAAAGAGTTCAGCTGCAATGAAAACCAGAAGGTTTGGGGATGGGGAACCCCTGTCTTAGAGAATTGTGCTTTTAAATGGAGTGTACAGATCTATTGTATGTACAAAGTTACCACCTGAATGCACAGCTTCAAGCTGAATTGACCGAGGCGTCATTGTGTTAAGAAAGTATTAGCTGTACCCACAGGCCTTGCAACTTTTCCCACATTCTGTAACCCGGCTTGCAGGCCCTTTGGAAGTACAAATCCCACGTGTCATTGCAGGACATGCTAGCTTTGCATCCTGAGCCGGGCTTCTACGGCGCCTCCGGTGTCCAGCTGTCTGCCCCTGCAGAAGGTGGGAGGGCCTGTGTGTTGGAAATACCTAGAAGTTACAGGAACACCAGAAGACATACAGAGGACCGTGTTCTTGAACGTTTTAGAGAAGATAAAAGCAAGAGGAGATTGTTTGGTGCCATCTTGCTTGGTTGGTAGTTTTGATAGCCAAATGCATCTAAAACTTTGTCCAGCCAGATCTTTAAAAGTGCCCCAGGGTTGGACATCATCCGGGTGCTGGAAAGACTGTTCCAGACAACCACACTGCTTTTCACAGAGTTGTTTCCTACATGAATTCCCAGTTGGTTTCCGTCGTGACCTTGTGTCCTTGTTTAACTCCAGGAATCGAAACGGTCATCTGAGTGGACCCTATCTTAGAATGGGGAATGGGAGAAGTGAAATTGAAGTGAGAGAGAGCTGGCCATCCAGCTTTCTGCTCACTGGTCATTCTAAACTGCAGGCATTGTGAGGGCAGGGCCTGGACAGACCCTGAGGAGAAGGGGACCTCTTTCTGTTTCACACAGGCTGACGAATGTTGCTCTGCAGTCACACTCCTGCAGGCTTCACACTCCTGTGCATGCAGGGGGTGCAAGAGGAACCGTCTGCTAGGAAGCCAACATCTGAGGGGACCCTGTCTTACAATGGGGAATGGGAGAAATGCAATTATGCAGCTAGCTTTTCCTATACTTGTGTTTTTTGACTTCTCTAACCCTTTTTCCTCTTTAAAAGATCACTCCAATGTTACAAGGTGAACAGGAAACTTTGCAACTTATTTGAGTAACTCTTAAACCGGCAGCCAGAAAAACGTGTGTGTGTGTGTGTGTCGCATCTTGCTCTGCAGTCACACTCCTGTGCATACAGGGGAGGAAGAGGAACCGTCTACTAGAAAGCTGCGTCAGGCTGGGCTTCTCCTTGCCCAGTCCTGTTCCTGGAACTGACCCACAGTTCCCAGGACTGGACACCCCCGACGAGCAGGGGAGTTCCCCCTAGTTCACACAGGCAGATGAATTAAACTTCTCAGAGTGCTTTGCAAAATAAATAAAACAAACACACACAGAACATCAGATATAGTGCAGTTACATTTTCAGTTGTTTTTTGTAGTTTACCAGTAGGTTATCCTGAAAGATACAGCCTCAAATTGAAGACGGTAGACATTTGGAGAAATGTGCGACTGGATTGAGAGGCAGTAATTAGAGCAGAGAGTATGTTTACATTCTTTTAGACAATGTGGGGCAGCAATAAATAAGGCAATAAAATCTTAGGATATACAGTTAAATGCATAAAACTGAAATCAATGGGTTTGGTTAAAATTGTAGAATGGGCTAATAAGAGCTCATTTACATGTATAGTTTTGGTCATTCCTGTTACAAAAAAAAGACATCTGCTCTGCAGTCAGTAATGGAGAGCAAGCTGATACAGTCCTTGGCCAAAGGGAATGTCCCACTCTTACAGACTGAAGCCACTGAACTTTTGAAGTCTCGAACGCAGATGAGTGCGAGGAGACCTGCTCTATGTATTTCATCCAGGCAGGCTGCGCTGACCCCAGTGTCCAGCCAAGTCCTCGATTATTTCATTGCCAGATGATGACCTGAGCTGATTTTTCATTTTAGAGGCACCCAATTCGAAAATCGCAGCCGGCACTACACACAGCTTGCAATCTCTTAAAAAATTGCCCTCTGCACAATAACTTTTTTCCTCCAAAGTCGATGTTACTTTTCTGAGTATAGTACATACAGAAGTGTTGTGGGAAATCCTTCTTCAGAGGACCAGGACACAGTCTTGCGTGGATTCAGTTGTTTTATTGAGCTCAATAATGACATCAACGTGTGCTGGGTCTGCCCCACAGAACAGACAACCTGCAAGGGTTTCCCAGCTCTTATATACAGTCAGAAGAAAGTTTGTGTCACAATCGGAGTGCTTGTCTTTGATATGTAATTACATTCTTGTCTTGCTCTAGGTTCTGTCCTTTGATATGCAGCAGACATTGGTCTGGTTTATCCTGTTCGTGGGGGTTGTTCCTGTCTTTTATTATGTAGCGTTAAGCCACTGGGGCTGCTAAAGCAAGTCAGCTTTATGGCATCTTAGTGTAACTTTTGTTTGAGGCTAAATTAACAGACCCCATCAGCAGCTCTCACAATGTGCTTAAGTGGTGATACTTTGATGCTGGATAAGTGAGATATATAGATGTCCCACTTCAGAAGGAAAAGGAGAAGAATTCTGATCCGGTGTCCTTATCGGAGCAGTTGGCGATGGGTGATACCAGCCATAATTATTTCCCAAAAGTTTGGAAATCTTTGTCTTTCTAGAATCAGGCTGTCCGATGTGAAGAGCTCAAGGCGAAGCGGTTGGGTTCTTGCAGCTTTGTCCCTGCGCAGCGTCCCGCGTATCGCAGCTGGATCCTCGGTCCAGGAGAAACAAAGGCAGCTGTGGCTTATCTCCCCCGTTTAGGGGGAACCTCAGCACAACAACCTCGCAGCCTCTCTCAGTGGGGGCCGCCTGCTTGCTAGGGGTGTGGGTTTTGGGGGGGGGGAGCTTACCACTGACCCCCCCTTCCCACAGCATCGTAAGGCCCTGCCTCTCCTGCTCCCCGCCCGTTGGCTGCACTAGCTGTGCAGGCTGCGCAGTTTGCGCAGCTCGTTCCAGAAGAGCAGGGAGAGGATGGTGTGCGGGCCCAGCCGGAAGTACGAGGCCCCGATGCCCTTATACAGCCCCATCAAGCCCTCCTTCCTCAGGGTTTTGGAGAAACAGTCCATGAAGCCCCGGTACAGCACCCCCTAGAGGAAAGGAAGAGACAGTCTGTCACAGACTCCAGAATGATCTACTGCATTCGGAGGTAGGAATATGAAGATGAAAGATTAAAGTGTTTTTGAGGTCCACAGGGCACTGTACTGTGATCTCAGGGTGTCGGAGCTGGACTGAACCGCTGTGCTGAAATCCAGGGTGCTGGGGTTTAAACTGAATCCTGCAGAGTGTCCCACATGTTTGTCACTTCACATTTCTATCATGCAGTTCTCCTATTATCTGCACGTGTGTCACCCTGGGTAAAGGTGGCACAGGAATGAATGACAAAAAAATACCTACAGATCTATCTAAAAATATCTACAGAGATGAGCATATTCTGGCCTTTTCCAGCACCTGTTCAAGAGCGCGTGTAGAAGGGTAGGGGACTGTGGTGTGACTGGCTCAGTGCAGCGCTCGTGGAGCTCGTCTCTGCATCAGGCGGCTGCTCTGCGCCAACTGCGTGCCCGGCTTACCCTGCCCTGGCCGTCCACGGGTTGGTTGTACAAGCGGGTGCTGACCACATCGAAGGGCGTCATCGCCAGGACCACCACCACGCTGCTGATCAGGCCCGCCGAGAGGGCGACCAGCCAGCTGCCTGCTGGGAACACCTGGCGAGACAGAAGACCAACGTCCAGCCGGCAGCCCAGACTTTGAAAGACCAAGCAGAGCTGCGCCCTGGGGAGCCCCAGCTGCCCCTGTTACCTGGAGGTCTTCAACGAACTCCTTGGACGTCGAGAACGTGCAGAGCTGGGCAGCCGACCCCACCGTGACCCGGGGCACCGCCGCGCCCGCGCCGCGCCACAGCCCCGTGACGCCGTGCTCCCTGTGGATGACCGCCAGGGCGTGGAGCATCCCCTGGGCAGGGAGACAGCGGGAATGAGACACGCGTCCGCCCCTCGGGAGCCGCCGCTGTTTGTTTCAGGAACCCGCGGCCCTTGTCAGAAAGGTTACGGAGTAGCCCGTCCGGTTCAGCTGGTTACTGGTAGCTGAATGACCTGATCTCACCCCGAGGTGTCCCGAGAGATCTCGGCTTTAACACTGAGCATTATTTTAAACTCCACCGTAACAGTACCGCTCCCTAACGCATCTATGCACATCTTTCCAACAAGCGCCAGCCTGATAATAGTTTTCCCTCTCCTAACTGAAGCAGGCTCCTTACCTGGTGCCTGTACTGGTGCCCCACGGCAATCGACGAGGTGGACTGGCTCTGAAGGTGCGTCTTCACCTGAAATGCACGGACGGAGGCAGCGATTACATACGGCCGCGCACAGTAACGAGGCTCCGTGACACAGCAAGGGGGGACGACCGGGTGTCGCACGACGGCTCGGCCGCCACAGCGGGCGCACTCACCAGATAGATGGGGCTGCCCATCACCGCCCCCACCACCCCGGCCACGGCCCCGGCCGCCGTGCTCTTGGCCGCGCTCACCCGGCCGTCCGTGTGGATGTAGCCGGCCGAATCGAACAGGGCGTAGGATCCCAGGCGCACCCCGTTCATGAAGAACTGGTAGAACAGCCCGGGCACCAGGCCCTTCTGCAGCCCGGCCAGCCCGTCCACCTTGCCGATGGTGTAGAAGGCGTGGAAGACGTTGCGGTAGTAGACCTGGTAGGAGCCCGGCGATTTGAGCTCTCCCTGCAGCTGCATCCGAGTCTTCACCACCTCCAGCGGGTTCGTGAAGAGGCAGGCGCCGCAGGCCGCCGCTCCGCTCAGGATGAAATCCATGCTGCGGACACAGGCGAGGTCGCCCCCGGGCAGGTTCGGGATTCCCCCGTTTTCTTTTCAGGCCCCGGTTTTTGTTGGGAGGGGCTTTTTTTTTCGTTTCTTGGGTTGGGGTTCTTCAAGGCGGTTGATTGATTTTGTTCCTTGGGTTTCTTTTCCGTTTTTTTTTTTTTTTTTTACGGCTCTTTCTTTTAACCTTCTCGGCACAAGAGGAAGAAATGATTGTCTTAGAGCGCGGCGAAACTGACACGACCCGGCAAAATGCAGAAAAGCACCTTTTTAGTATGCTGACAGTACCAATCAGGGACTGGCTCGAGAGATCGTCTTTTCCAATCAGCCAGCCTGCTGAGGCCCAGCCCTCGCCTTACCTCCTCTAAGTGGAGGGGGGTGTGAGTGACTGATGAATGCCGAATAGCAGTGAAACATTGCTGTTTTGTGTGGGTGGGTGGGGTTGGTCCCTCCACGCAAAATATCCCATTGAGCAAAGCGCTCCGACAAGGTGCCGGCTGTGGACAAACCCATCTTCAAACACCGCTGCGCTCCTACTAGAATGGAGGAGGGGCGGTGGAATGGAATTGCCGTGACGTCGAATTTCCATTGTCCGGTGACTGTCACGCGCGAGGCCGCAGCCGAGACACAGTCACGCCGGGGGGGGGGAGAGAACACGTGAAGGTTGGATTGCGTCATGCCCTTTGTTACTGCTAGTCCGAGTTCAGTTTCCTCAGCGACCTGCAGTACAGTATAGCCGGGATGAGAAACGCACCTGTCAGCACAGAATCGCTGTATTAGTGAGTGACTGAACAGTTGCGAACGCTTGAATGAGGAAGCGATAAGCTGCTTTACAGTTTTAGACGGCAGTAGCTAATCTACAGAAACCAGCGAGGGACAGGCTTGCCTTCCCGAGAAAAGATATGCCACGATATTAAAGCTATCACAAAAATACTTTAATGTGTTACTGTACTTTAAAAACCTGTTAAGCGTTTATATCCATTCTGTTTTATAATGTTAAGCAGTAATTGTTTGCGGGTGGGTGCTGTTTTATTAAAAAGACAGAATGATGTGTTTTTTTTTTTGCCATAGTTTTCATACACCGGCGCTATTGGTAACAATAGTTAGACAGCAGAGCTGTCGGACCCTGCTCCTGGACCAGGGCAGGTGTGTCAGCAGGTTTCAGACTGGCCAGTGACCAGCCCGTTTGTTGCGCTTGTCCCGGGCCGTGCGGGCGGGAAGACCCGGAGAGAGACACCCGGTGCTCCGGGAACAGGCCGGTCTGGCGCCCCCGTTGTGCGGAAAACACCTCCATGAGCTGTGCGGTCAGGGCTGGGCTGTATCTGGCCGCACGGCTGGCTCTGAGCCTGAGGGACACTTCCGGTCATCAAGGTGTGGATTAGAAATCGACCGCGCCGCGGTGACAACTGCGCGGAGAGACAGTAGGAGTGCCGACGAAAGTCATAAAACTGACTTTTTTAACCAGCATCCAACTGTTTTTACTCCTGACGCACGTCCCTCTCTCAGTGTGGGTCCCCGTTGTCAACTCGTCTTCCCCGGTTGCTCTGCCGGAAAAGGCCTGTAGCCATGGAAACAGAGGGTCACGTCCACGTCTGTAACCCCACATCAAGCACCTGCTGAAAACGGGCTCTCTCGCATCTTTCACGGGGCTGTTCAAAGATTTTATTTTGCACTGGCAGTCAGTCGGCGTGCTCTTTGAGCGCTGCTCTGATAACTGACCCACGAACAACACTCGTGTTTTGAAAACAGTGGGTCGGGGCGGGTTGCTCCAAGCCAGAACCCGCTCCAATTCTGCCCTTTTTTCTCTGAAAGTTGGTTATAAAACGTGTTGTGGAAAATAAAGAGGATCACGCATGAAAGGTCAGCTGAACCTTGGTGCGGTTAGAAACGTCACGGTTTTGCATTCCTGAAATAGCTTTGCCCATTTGCGATGGCTGTAGGAGGCTAAACATTAGGACATGTTCCCAGGAGGTTCCAGGTTCAAAACCTAGCTTTGCCACGGCCACCCTGGCTGGTGATACTTTGAGAATGCACTGGCTTTAAAACCAGTTCCTCCCCTAACACTCCTTGAGGCGTTTCTGCTGTGAATATTTTAGTGTGAACAATTCCATTCCTAGCATCCTACCCTTTGTACAAAATATCTTACTTCAGAATTCAAATCAGGTTGAACAACCAGACTTCGGCTACCATTTCCAAGCTTGTACCAACTGAGTAATGTTGGGAAACGGTGCTAACCGATTTGAAAAAGACAGGGATTAGACAGAACCTTATAGGGAATTATCTCCCCCCCCATAGACCTATGTAGGATTTTCTAGTCTTTTATAGTTGATTATGTAAAATCTTCATTTCGTTAAAAGGTAGCTAGTTGAAACTTGAGCCACAAGTATACTCCTGCAGTAATTTAAACAGATCAGCTTTGCAGATAGACACCACACCCTCCAGGGCTTGAGCACAAGACCCCCTGTGATAAAAGAATTCACAACTGTGTGAGTGGGAGCCAGCCTGGAGCCTGGCAACCCTTTCATAGCAAGAACACAGTACAGCATTGTAAGGCAAGACAATACAAGGTGTTGTACTGTATCACTTCATCACAGAATGGTAACCCCACCAGCACCTAGGAAGCAAAGGGTAACACTAACCAATATCCTCTCTTCCACTCTCTATTGCAGCCTCTGTCATGCTAATTTATTATTGTATTTTGAATAGAAGCACAGGGGCCCAGTTTGGCGTCATGGTTATCCTGCACTATACTTGCAAGATTTGAGCTCAAAAAGACTTCATAATTGAGCAGAATTAACACCAAACTGCATCACATCAATTAACTGGATACAGATTATGAGCAACCACTTAAGATTGTTCTCTCTGCATAGTATCTGACTGGTGTCCCCCCCCCGGCTCTCTCGTCACAGGGGGTACGTGGGGTGACTTCTCTGGGTGGCCTCGGGGGACCCTGTTCCAGGAGGACCTACAGCTGGGGGGTCTGTCTGGGGAGCAAGGGGACGTTACTGCCGCGTCCCCTGGTCAGCAAGCTGGCCGACGCTACTGACCCAAGTCCATTCCCACAAAACCCCCCCTGTCGAGACTTTCTCCACCTTTCTTCGCTTCACCCAAGGGACTTGTACCACACTACTCCCCTGTCAGGGACAGGGCACAGCGTCTTCCAGAGCAACAGGCCCCTCAGCAGCTTGGCTCTTGCTGAAAG